ATTTTCTCTTCTGCTCATTCGGATTAAGAATCTTCTCCACAACGCCCCTATCAGACACAAGAAGAATATTACTGCCAATTAATGTTTCAGGGCACTATAGTTTTACAAGCTGTAAGTATGACTTCTGAAATTCTGGGACAATTGCCTAAACTGTTCTTCTCATATAACTACAGTACAGATCACTATTAATAGACGAATCAACTTACCTTTTTGTTTATTTCTAGCATTCCAATGAATGAAAGAGGCAAAACTTGGAATACCGCAAGATAGAACAACACAGACTGTTGTATACCTGCCTGGGAAAGAACAACAATACTGAATATAGTTATCATACTTGAGGCATTTATTAACAGTAGGACACCTTCATCTTCTACCATAATAAAGCATAACGTCTCCATCCCTGTCATTGTAAAATTTTTTGGATCAATTTTGTAAAAATTTAAGAATGACGTATTTTTTAACAAACTTACCTGCCGTGCTGCTGCAGGGAGCTTATTCTGAGCTGACTTTACAACCATTATCTCCTGAGGAGTATCCCAGCTCAGATACCTATTTTTGACAAGAAAGGCCTATATGAATACATTTAATAATAAAAACATTATTCCACATAAAGTACAATCTCCGATAACTAGGCAGATCCCTGTGTCCAGGCAAACTGTTCAGTATCTGATGCAGGAGAGGTACCTAAGATATTTGCTGTCTGCAATAATGCGAAGCCCAGGGAACTAGGAATGGCTTCTTTCAATACAGAATTGTGAGAAAAATTCTGAAAGGATGAACATTCACCATCTTAATTTTTCTCCTTCCCTTCACAAATCACTCTTTTCTTACCCTTCAGCTTGCAGGAAATAATTTCTTCTGAGAACTGAAAAAAAGATGCAGTTTACCAGAAGCAGTAACTGCTCTGCTTTTAAAGAGCAAAATGGCTACTCCATGGATAAGAATGCTTGCAAGTTAAAAATGTCTTAAACTTTAAATGAATTTTTCTTATTTTTTATGAAGTTTGTTTTACACCTCTTAAAGGTCCTCTCCCAGTATGTTGCTATTGCAATATAAAAGGCTGTAAAATTGTCAGAGAAAAGCCAACAGTAACCTAGTTTTTGTGGCTTCTGTGGAACTTGATACCAAATTTGAGACCATAATACTTAAGCTGCTGAAATTATTCTATAGAAAACAGCATGCAGGAACAGTACTCCACATAATGTGCTAGACTAACAAACCTGAAATCAGCCATAGGATAGCACTAAAACAAATCTCATTCCCTTTCTCCAGTATAGTACTAGTGACTGTTAATTATATAAAGCCTAGTCAAAGTTTAATACCTGAATTTACAACAGGCACCGGCAAGGTATATTTTTTCCAATATTTCTCCACTATCAGCAGAGAGACGTAGAAGCCAGTTCTGCACTGTCAAGACTATCAGGGAAGATTTATAGTCTGATGGACTTGGTAGCATTTCCCCCTACATAACAAAAGGTTAACAGAAAAAGATTTGTACCAGGAGGATACATAATATTTCTACACAGTAAGAAGAAAATAAAAGATAATACACATTCCTCAAAAACTAAAGGTGGAAAGCTGCCTGCTCATGACATCAGGATCTCTAAGCTCATGTCTGGGCGAAATAGTCATCTGACTATCACATAAATAATCTGTTGTCATGCTTTTTGCAAGGCAGTTACCTTTTCTAGAAAAGACACATTTTAAAACTTCCTTGCCTTGAAAAAATGAAGTATAACTGCTTATCGATCTAATTGATACCAGACTTGAGGAGACTTCTTTAAGTATTGCAGAGCAAGATATTCAGTAGTAACTGAACAGTAACTACTTAAGAATGGTATTCACACTGCTTTATTTTTAGGCACCTCAAGGATGGGGCTAATATTCCTGAGCTCTGTGGACACTGGATGAGAAAAAAACAAGGAGGGAAAACAAGGAGGGAAATTATATAATCTATTAGCTAGAAAGGGCAGAACAGCTTTTGGGCAGAGTTGCTTCAATGGATCTTCAGTTTATGTGGGTTTTTGTATGTCAAAAGATCTGGTAAAAACTAAAACTCCCACCTACTGCTCTTGTTCATTAAAAAATAAAGAAAAAAATTAAACTGAATTTATGTTGTTAAGAATTAGTTGCATAAGCATAAAGGCACTGTTTTAAAAATTTTCCACGAAAGCTTACAAAAAAGCATTTGAATGCACTATTGAGAAATTCAGAAAAGTATACCTCTAAATGTTCAGTCAAAATAAATAAGCACACATTGCAAACCTTAAGTGACCTAACTCCATAGAAACACTGAGAAAATAGTTTGTGTGGAAAGATAGCCCTGTTCTAAATATGTTTCACTGAAAGGTATTCATTGTTTTTTTTTCACAACAAAGCTCTAGTAAAAAGTAATCTTACCAGTGGGCATTCCAATAATAAAGCATCTTCTATTTTTTCTGACTTAGAACACTTTGGCTTTTGATAAAGTATTCTTGGCTCTTGTGCAATGCTGGAGGAAAATGATTGTGAATCATTAGTCTGGTTTATAAACTACTTTCTATTGACAAGTAATTTCATACAGTTGTATAAACCCTGCCTTCTTTTTAGGCAGGTCAGAAATCTAAACATTTTTACTTTGTAAATGTAACCTGAAATTGCTCACAAAATAAGGCCTAATAAACAATAGTTACTATAATACGATATTTAAAAGCTAACCTCTATATTTTGTGGTTTGGTGTTGTGAGGTTTTTTGGTTTGGGTTTTGTTTTGTTGGATTTTTTTAAAAACAAATGTAACATTCTTACTTTAGTGATATACATTTAAAAAAAAGCATATTCCAGAAATTAATGTTTATCCTGGAACCTGCCCCTCAAGCTCTTCCAGTGTTGCCTTTCATAATACAAAGACATGCATCATGTACGTGTATTTTTAAAAACCCCAGTACTACAATAAAAGCTGTGCAGAGTTTTCCCCTCAGGGAGAGGATGAGACAAAGATAAACCTGAAAGATGTTAGACAGGTTAACCCAGTACTGGAAAGCATTCAGACAGTGTAGGAATAAAACCCAGCTAAGTAGATTTATATCTCTGCTGTGATAGATTAATTTCATTAACTCTCAGTGGTTTACACCGACAGAGTAATTTCTTTTATGTACCACATGACATTGTCTCAAAACTGTTCTGACCACAGCTTACTCAGCAACACAGTTCTCCAAGTCCCTGCTACTTCCCTCACAAGAAGGATGGGCAAGGCCAAGGACTGGTGTACACAGGACTTCCCATCCTCGTCCTCTACTCTGCCCTGTGCTGCCTCCCAAACTGTGCCTCTGCAGCTGATCATGAACAGGAGAGTACCAGATAAGAGAACTGATCTGCAAATTACATTACCAAAAACCAGAAAGTACTCCACACACTGTACTTTTACCTGAACAATAATCAACTTCTTTAACACAGAATTTATAGACATAGTACCAAGCTTGTTACACAGGCTTATTTTGCGACACATTCTTTAGCACACTGCTAGTTTACCAAACCACAAAGAACTACTGATCATTTAGCATTTTAGAGCAAAATTATAAAATGGTGATAATCTTCCACTCCTGTTAAAGTGCTCTGAAAGCTGAAGTTATACAGCACCAGTAAGATCTGACTTCTATTTCACCAAAGTAGGTGTCACATTAAGACACAAAGACTTATGCACCTGGCTATTTTTTGTTCATAATTCCACTCAATTCACAGGGGCTATTCGGAAAGTAAAGTGGGCAACATGTTTAAAACAGAATCAGAGTGTTGATATTGTAAGCCAAGGTAACTTCTAATTGTAAATTTATTACCTGCTAATACAGCACTGGTAATTGTCTAAGTAAATTCTTCCTCTTTCGTATGCAATAGGAGATGCAGAATGAGTTGTCCAAACGTTCTTGAATTTAGTACTTTCCTGAAACAGACAGTGTTGCAACAGTGATGGCTTTTGTAACAAACCTTGCTTTTGGAAAATGTTTTATTTGGCTCCTGCAGCTTAATAGCTTACTTTAATAGAACCTTTGTTGTTGAATACATGTTTTTTTAAACCAAATTCAAAGACCTTTTTGAGGTAAATTTTGTCTTTCTTAAAAACAAACTTAAATTATTTTTTATTACCTATTATAGACTGCATGGCTAAGGAATATCTTGTTATTAACTTGCCTGCAACAAAAGTAGAACTGGCAACTAAACTTTAATGGCAGTTTTAAAATCAAGGACAAAACTCCCGAGTGTAAATATGCACATTTCTTTTGTATGTGATTACTGAATTTATTGAACATCTGATTCCATTCTGCTGGTGGTGTTTTGTGTAAAAGGTTGAAAAAAGTGTTTAGTTATTTGCAAGAAGTGCCTGAAATGTTAACGGGATAAACTGCTCACAAAGTTTCTTGGGTGCATTAGAGACATCAGGAGCTCTATACTATTAACAAAGGTTCCAGTCTTACAACAACAACAATAACAAGCATTTGTGTAAGTAAGATATACTAATTTTTATTTCAATAAACCTTGCATGCCCATTGGTCTAGTTTCACAAGCAGACACTTCAGCTAACTTCCAATAAATTTAATTTAACACAATTGCCAATTCTCTTCCATATGTTCACCATCAATGCATTTCTGTCAGCTACTGCATGGGAACAGTAATCACTTTGATAAAAAAGTCAAGTTCACTTTAGTCTACAAGTGGTTTAATTCTTATTTTTTCTGTAACATAAATTTCACTGACACATTAGCAGTATGTTTACCTGAAGACCTCTGCTGATCATCTTATTTGGTTGTGAGAACTCCATTCAAATTTAACACTGATGCTTCCTAAAACACTATGAATTTAGTATTAAATATTAAGCCATCTTAGGGGAAGAAATAAGTGATATCAAAATCTCATAAAAGTCTATTTCTAACACTGTTAGTTTTACACGTTCTTCTGCAGTTTTTCCCCAGCACAGTCCTTTACATTTCTAGGTCTGAGCCTCATGAAATAAAGCTAACGATTTAATGCAGCTTTTTTTCTCCCCAAACTTGTTAGTCAACGTGACCAGGGACTTTCTCAAGCACCTCGGTGGGAGACTGACGCTCGGACCACCCCGGCTGAAAGCCTGTACACGCAGGGGTACAGCAAGCGCCGGAAAGCATCGCTATTACCTGACATATTATCTTTCTGAGGAGTCCCAGGTTTTTTCTGTGGGCGACACCAGCATCTCTGGCATAAAAGCCGTGGGCCCTGCGGGTGAGGAGGCGGCAGATGTTGTGAGCCCCGGGCGCCCGTGAGGCGGCCCT